AAAAAAAAAAAAAAAAAAAAAAAAAAAAAAAAGAGCAGAAAGAAATGAGGGGACTATTTCTGAAGGTGCCCAGTGAGGTTGCTGCCTGAAGGTGTCGTGTCCTCTGAGCTGAGGGAGGGAGGACTGAGCACCTTTAAACAGGTGCCTGCAGCCCTGGGGGAGGGGGAGGGGTGCAGGATGCACAGGTGCCAAGGCCACACCCTTCTGCTGCAGCTTGCCCTTCCCATCTTTCCTCTCTCTGATCGTTCTGCCAGCACGCACATGTCCTCAGAGGTAGGCCATCTTCAAAAGTAAACAAAAACATTTCAAAAGCCTCCCACCCCCCTGCATCCTCATCTAGCTCCTGCCCGGCTCTTGTCTGTCATTGGGGTCTCCATGTTGACTGCCCTCGTCCGGATCACTTGTCCCCCGAGACACCAAGTCTTTGTTTCTCTGCCCTCCTCAGAGAAGCTCAGCAGAGTTTGACAGCTACCCGTCTTCCTTCGGTAGCACCTGGTTCCTCTGGCCTCAGGGGTCTTTCCCTCCCCAGGCCTGCTCGCTGCTTCTCAGCTTTGCTGGGTTCTCTGATGACCCCTCACTTTTCTCACCCCGTTCTCCTCCAGGATTAGCCAGGTGATGACTCCCAAACTCTTTGGAATCTCATGAACCTGGAATTTCAGACTTGCGGGTATGATTACCAGGAGCCACATGGGTGGGTAAAAGCCATTTCAAACTGATACATAAACTAGGACCCACCTCCCACTTCCTTCCAACCTCACTTCTTCCCTGAAACCTACCCAGTCATTCAGAGCAGAACCCCAGGATGATCCTGGAGGCGTGTTTTCCCTTCCCCCCTCCTCTCTCCATCCCTGCAGAGTCCTCCGTGATTACGTGACTGCTCTGTCCACGGTGCTGGATGCCTCCTTCCTAATTCAGCTGCCAGCGTGCCCCACCCACAGCAGTGCAGCAGCCTCCCACCTAGCCTCTCTGCTGCTACTCTTTTCTTCCAAAATGCTCCCCCTCCTCAGCAGCCACAGAGATTGAAACCTAATTAAGTCCTGTTGCTTTCCAGCTGAGTGTCCTTCCATGATTTACCCATGTTTCCACCCTACTCTGAAAAGCTCCTGGGACCTGGCCCTGGCTTCTTCCCTCTCCCTGATCCTCTGCCCAGCCCCTTTGCATGGCTGACACCACTACCTGGGTCACTTCCTGATATCTGCATGTCCAGCTCCTTCACCTCCCTCAGGTCTCATGTCTCGTAAGCATCAGCTGCTCAGGGAAGCCACAGGAAGATGCAGCCCCCACCCCTCTGTGCTGCATTCCAGTGCATGGCAGAACGCTGAGAGCTTCCTATTTCCTTGTTTTCTGGATTTCTCCTCCCACCGGGATGAGAGCAGGACCTTTTCCATCCTTCACCGCCGCATCTCCAGCTTCTAGAAAGTGCCTGACGCCTATCAGAGGCTCAGTAAAGACTTGTTGAATAATTAAATGAATGCTTATTATATTTACTACATTCTCCTAAAAATACATATTTTTTTTTCTATAGCCATGTGTCACTAAAAAAATACATGTTTATTAATAAGTAAGGCCAGGTGTGGTGGCTCACCCCTGTAATCCCAGCACTTTGGGAGGCCGAGATGGGCAGATCACGAGGTCAGGAGTTCAAGACTAGCCTGACCAACATGGTGAAACCCTGTTTCTACTAAAAATACAAAAATTAGCTGGAAATGATGGCGCATGCCTGTAATCCCACCTACTCAGGAGGCTGAGGCAGGAGAATCGCTTGAACTCAGGAGGCAGAGGTTGCAGTGAGCCGAGATCATGCCACTGCATTCCAAGCAAGACTCCATCTCAAATAAATAAATAAATAAGAGAAAAAATATGAAGATATGTGATATTCCTTCATAACACTTCTCCCTCACAGATGAATACTTACTATTTAGGATCATAATTTTCTTGTTTTGAATAATTCTTCTGTTAGAAATCACTGACACTTCTGAGATATTTCCCACTCCGAAAACTTGAGAAATAGAATGTGTAGCTTCCATTTAACGAATGAGTTAGTGGACTGGGTTGTCCAAGCAGTTCTTATTGCCTTCACTTTTATTTTCTTCTTAAGGGTTCTGAATCTCTGATGTATCAGCACAGAAATAACAGGTTTAGATTACATTACAAAAAGTACTCAGGCGGGGCACAGTGGCTCACTCATGTAATCCCAGCATTTTGGGAGGCCAAGCCAGATGAATCACCTGAGTTTAGGAGTTTGGGACCGGCCTGGTCAACATGGTGAAATCCTGTCTACTAAAAATACAAAAATTTGCTGGGCGTAGTGATGTGCACATGTAGTCCCAGCTCGTGAGAAGGCTGAGGCAGGAGGATCATTTAAACCCATGAAGTGTAGAAGTGAGCTGAGATCACGCCACTGCACTCCAGCCCAGGTGACAGAGTGAGACCCTGTCTCAAAAAAAAAAAAAAAAAAAGTGCTCCAACTGTTGATATTCTGGAGCCCTAATCTTAGCTTAGTTATTAGTTTCCTTTGTGACCTTAAAGAATTGCCTTAGCCCTCTCTGGGCCTTAACTTTCTGCGTGAAGAAGTTGGCCTCTTCTTGCTCTCAGCATTATCTGATTCTGTGATTTCTAGCTAAAGCTACATTTATACAAATATATAAAGTGTTTTTGCAAAGTAAAGAGTAGAATAGTGGTTATCAGAGGTGGAGGCGGGTTGGAGAAGTTGACTAAATAATGCAAAATTCCAGTTAGCCTGGGTGACAGAGCAAGACTCTAATCTCAAAAAAAAAAAAAAAAAAAAGGTGTTGTATATTTTTTAAATGTTAAAATTTAGATTTTAAATGTTCTCTCTAGAAAGAATGATAAATCTGTGAGGTGATGGATATGTTGGTTAGCTTGATATAATCATTCCACAGTGGATACATATGTTAGATCAGTACCTTGTTCTCCATAAATATGTACAATTATGATTCATCAATTAAAAATAAAAAATGCTTTTGCTAATAGGTTTAGTATCCTGAAAAATACGAGAGTGTCTACAAAGGATAAAAGTCCTTTGCTTTTCTAAAGTAAAATGTTGCTGAGGACCTCGTAGCTGTTTGGAGTGGTTGTCCCAGGAACAGCAATGTGCTTGTGCGGATTCAGCCCCCACCGCCTGTGCCCCCTGGAGACCCGTGCTGGGTGCTTCTCAAACAGATGGCAGCCTGCAGCTGAGCAAAGCCACCTGCCCATCCAGGGTGGAGCCTGTAACCTTGTCCTTGTTAAGCTTTGACCAGCTCCACTAGCTTACTATTGGCAAGGACATCAGAAGACCAGCAAGGTTAGGAGGTGTTAGAGACATAAGCTTTTTAAAATATGTTTTCTTCAGAACACTTAAAAGGTTTATCTAGATAGAAGTAAGAAAAGACAGAGATATAAACACCAAACATACATATTTATGTATCTATAAATATGTGTCCCTGGGTTTTATTTATTTATTTTTGAGTTGGAGTGTTGGTCTGTCACCCAGACTGGAGTACAGTGGCGTGGTCCCAGCTCACTGCAACCTCCACCTCCCAGGTTCAAGCGAATGTTGTACTCAGCCTCCCAAGTAGCTGAGCTGGGATTTCAGGAGCACACCACCACTCCCTGCTAATTTTTGTGTTTTTAGTACGGGTTTCACTGTGTTGGCCAGGCTGGTCTCGAACTTCTGACCTCAGGCGATCCACCTACCTCAGCCTCCCAAAGTGCTGGGATTATAGGCGTGAACCCTCACACCCAGCCTCTGTTCCCTGGGTTTTATAGTCCTGGGTTCATTTCCATATACATCTGTGTGACCCGATCAGGGCCCTATATTCTCCCTCCTGAGAACTTTTGGGAGAAAGGTAAATAGAGTGGTATAATAGCTTGTACTAAATCTCTTAAAAAAGAAAAAACAAAGAAAGGTAAACAGAGAACTCACATGGTGGTTTTGATTATACTCTCCCTTTTTCATTCTCACGAGTTTTCTTTCACGTCTCTTCTTCCTGTTTTGTTCACCTTCTCATCTTTGAAATGTGGTTGGCTAACAGCCCGTCATGCTTCATGGGAATTTTCTGTGGCTCACAGCCCCCCACCCCGACCCTTATTCCCTGCCTTCCTTCATGTCAGTGAAAGGGCAGCCTGTGTTTTCATAGGTGGAGCCAAGGCTTCATATGCACAGACCCCAGTGGCCCTGGCTAGGATATGAATAACACCAGACCATTTTAATGCCTGCAGATGAATTCTTTTTAGATAGGGGTAAGGTCTATCTGAAAAGGAAAAAGTGCAGAAATGGCATTAAAAATGAATATAGACGGATTTTGTTCAAATAACTAAACTCTAAAATTTTTGACGATTCTCTTAGTTTATTTTGTCCTTTTTATTAATGTGAATTATAGTAACATTTTACTATGAGTGAAATTTTTCTTTGCTTTTGTTATCTTTTCTTTTTATTTGTTTTTGCTTCTGTTACCTTAATAGTTAACAGATTCCTTCTTTTTGTTTGTTTGAGATGGAGTCTCCTGTCGTACAGGCTGGAATGCAGTGGTGTGATCTCACTGCACACCTCCGTCTCTCAGGTTCAAGCGATTCTCCTTCCCCAGCCTCCTGAGTAGCTGGGATTATAGGTGTGTTCCACCACACCGGGCTTATTTTTGTATTTTTAGTAGAGATGGGGTTTTGTCATGTTGGCCAGGCTGGCCTTGGTCTCAAACTTCTGAACTCAGATGATCCACCTGCCTCATCCTCCCAAAGTGCTAGGATTATAGGTGTGAGCCACTGCACCTGGGCATTTAACAGGTTTCTAACATGTAAGACAATTAAACAAGAAAGACTTAAACGGAACTTTTAAAAATCGAAAGGACACTTTTATTATTAAAATATAAACAGCCTATAAATGTAATTATTCTGTGACTAGCTTGCCACAACTCCTGCCTAATCTTAGCTCACGGCAACCTCCACCTCCCAGGTTCAAGCATTTCTCCTGCCTCAGCCTCCTGAGTAGCCGGTATTATAGGCGTGTGCTACCACACCTGGCTGACTTTTGTATTTTTAGTAGACACGGGGTTTCACCATGTTGGCCATGCTGGTCTTGAACTCCTGACCTCAGGTGATCCGCCCATCTTGACCTCCCAAAGTGCTGGGATTACAGGTGTGAGCCACCTCGCCTGGCCAATTATATTGATTTTTATGGTTATCCTTTTCTTGAATGGAATCTTTTCTTGATTAAAAAAATAAATAAATATAGCTCTTATACCATCAGGGTTTAATTCCATTGTTTTTAAAAATATAGTGCACAATAACATAAAATAAGGTAAATAATGTATTTCATGGCCACTGAGACAACTAACAAAATGGTCTAACAGTATTTTGGAAGGAAATGATTGTATTCTCACAGTTTTGTCTCTCAGGTTCAGAATTAAATGTAGAATAGCATTTTTCTAGAATCCATAGGGAATTTGGTCCTTTGATTGAGTCAGGGTGTTTTGACTGTCTTTGAATGATTTATGCCTTAAATATGCAGTGTTAATAAAAGCTTTCCCACCTTATTTGCCCCAAATTGATCTTGGTTTCTGTGCTTCCATTTGTCTTTTGGGATTTTGATTTACTCTTCCATTTCTCTAGGGGACACCTGTATTTGTGCATGCAGGCCCGTTTGCTAACATTGCTCATGGCAACTCTTCAGTGTTGGCTGATAAAATTGCCCTGAAACTGGTTGGTGAAGAAGGCTTCGTAGGTAAGTTATTTCTTTTAAGTTTAGTTGTTGTTGGATATTGAAGAAATCTTAAGGATGCTGACTAGATTGGAGTGATATCTATACTGACATGAAATCTATTCTTTCAGGCCCCCTCTTTCATAGATGGTCTCAGTAATGGAAAAGCACTAAGGTCTGGTCTGTACTCATGAAATTCTGCTTGTGCTTGAATTGTAGATTCTGGTATCAAGCACATGTGGGTTTGAGTATAAGCTCTGACTCTTGCAAACTGAGTGACGTTGAACACATTTAAATTACTACTGAGCTTTGGTTTTCTGGTGTGTAAAATTGTGATAAAAATATTGTGTCAAACCCTTTAGGCTTTTTATGAAAACTAAATGAGATATTTTAGTCATTCAGCAAATGTTGTTTGAGAACCTACCACTTAGAAGGCATGCTCCTCAGAGCTAGGGATCCAGTGGTGAGCAAAACAGACAGGCACAGTGGCACGTACCTGTAATCCCAGCTTCTCAGGAAGCTGAGGCAGGAGGATTGCTGGAGCCCAGGAGTTCATGTCCAGCCTGGGCAGCATAGCAAGATCCTGCCTTTGTGAATAAATAAAAATTAGAACAACCAGCCTTAGTCCCTGCACTTGTGGAGCATACTGTCTAATGGTAATTTAATAAGAGAAAGTGCTCATTGACTGTCAGCCATTACTACCCTTACTACGTAGTACTGATAACTTGAAGTCCTGGGTTTATTTCCATATACAGTTTCTCCTTGTTTTTTGCGAGCTAATGTAGGAGAGATACCCAACCAGTAGACTTAGAAACGTTCACTGGTAGAACTGTACAACTTTTGCTGCTGTCAAGCTCTTTGTAGAACCTGTTCTTCTTTGGCTTTTCTTGCATATTCCAGCTAGAAAGAAGAGGCAACTCTCTTAGGTACTTAGTCAGTGCCAGCCCCAGTTCCACCGATGATATTAAGGCAGCAAGGAAACAAAGACAAAACCAAAACAGGCATTCATGGAAGAGTCCCTTAATCTGACTTATGAGGAATTGCATTGGCAGATTTCTCATGCTAACAGATAATTCCCCTTAACCATATGAACGCTTATAATCAGGATAGCAATCTCTTCTTTCGCTCCTATCATCAGCCTCGGATCAAACCCAAAAGAGTTGTTTTATTAGAAAAGAGTGTGCTGGACAAAAGAACCTAGCACTGCATTTTAGGCTCAGACATCACAAAGTTCATTCAGGGTTATTGAGACTCTTAAGAATTCCTTGTGGACAGGCAGTCATGATCAGATGAGGCTTGATGGAGTTCCATTCCTCCATGATCTGTATTCTGCAGCTCTCATGTACTTTGCTGCTTCGATAGCAAATCCACTGCAAGAGTGGCTAGCCATGCTGTCTAAGTGAATGTGCTCAATTGATCACTGCCTAATTGTAGAACTAATGGACCAGAAGGCCGGGTGAGGCCGGGCATCAGAAAGTTGGGTGCTTAAGTAAAGTGGTGGTTCTGATGCATCAGCTCTGCAAATAAAGTCACTTCTAGAAGGAAGCACTCTATTTTATGCTGACAGAGATCTCTGCGTGTACCAGTTCTTACTTTGTCAAACACATATTTATAAAGTACATGTTATCATGGCAGAATATTTTTCAAGATATAAACTGATGATGGATGCAAAACAAACAGGCTGTCTGTGTGATCTTGAAGAAGCCATTAGCTTCTCTGGGTGTGTCCCTTGTAGGTTATCTCATCTGAAAAGTGAGAAGTCGGACCAGATGAGGAGTTGGATATGGATAGCCATGGACTCAGAGGTAGAAGCTGTGGAATTGGAGCCCTGACTGGTAGTGTGTTTTAATTTCTCTAGGGCTCAATTTTTTATTTAATAAAGAGAGAATATCTATGTGAGTTGCAGTATTTTAATGAGTAGTATCAACTGAGAAAGTGCTTCATAAAACATGAACTATACACAGGTCAGCACTTGTGTTAATTCTTTCTATGATCCCGTCTAGTCTAAGATGCTGTAAGTGGGGGAATTTTTCATGAGGATGGAATCTGTCCATTGCCAGATGGTTCAAAGGGCCAGCCCTAAAGTCAGGTTTTACCTCAACTGCTTGCAAGTCACAGATAACACTGGGCACATTAACCCTTCTCTTCCTTGGCTTCCTTACCTGTAAAATAGGGCTTTGGATAGGGCTTCCCTCTCGAAAGGACTTGGTAGGTTTGAGAAGTATCAGTGAGATCATGCAGGTCGGGCAGAGTCCTGGCGCCTGACGCTTGGTAAGACACAATTCCTCTTAGCCGCCCCTGGTTGTCATTGTTGCCCCCACTATTGATACATTATTGATAGAGGTCACATTTTCTTTTTTCTCTAGATCTTTTTTTTTTTTTTTTGAATGATTTTGTTTATAGTTGTTATAAAATACACATAACATACAAGTTACCATCTTCACCATTTTTGAGCGTACATTGAGTAGTGAAGTACACCCACATTGTTGTGCAACCAAGCTCTAGAACCAAAGTCCTGTGCCCATTAAATATTCCTCATTCCCCTGCCCACAGCTCCTGGCAGTGCCCTTCTACTTTCTGTCTCAATGAAGTTGATTCCTGAATACCCCATGTGTGGAATCATGCCGTATTTGTCCTTCTGTGACTGACTCATTTCACTTAGCATAATGTCTTCAAGGTTCATCTATGTTGTAACGAGCGTCAGAATTCTCTTCCTTTTAAGGCTGAATAATATTCCGTCATGTGGATAGACTGTACTTTGTTTATCCACTCATCCTTCATTGGACATTTGAATTGTTTCCACCTTTTGCTCTTGTGAATAATGTTGCTGTGAACATAGATGTATAAATATATTTTAATGTCTGAAAACCGTGCTCTATTATGTCTAAATATGTGATGGCAATGACATATATTCATAAATATGTACCATGGAACTCTAGCCCTGTAATGTTGAACTCTCACGAAGGTGGTGTGTCCATCCTGTGACTCCATTGGAATGCTGGCGGCAAAGCCAGTATATGGGACAGTGGGAACGGGGCGTGGTCAGGAGACAGTGTTGCTGGCTGCACAGGCAATGTATTGGAAGTGGGAATGGGGCGTGGTCAAGAGACGCCGTTGTTGGTGGCAAAGCCCAAGTATTGGAAAGTGGGAACGGGGTGTGGTCAGGAGACAGTGTTGCTGGCGGCACAAGCGGTGTATTGGACAGTGGGAATGGGGCGTGGTCAGAAGACAGTTCTTTGCCCATTGCTTGGTCAAGCCTGCACTGTGGGTCTGGTTCATTCCTTGCCCTTGGATGAAGTTTGTAATAGTTACAAACTTATATACTTTTGTAAGTTTATAAAACTATTGTATACTGAGGTTAATATCTAGTCCCTCTAACATACACATTTTTTAATGGGTCTGGTCACTTTCTATCATAAGAACAGACCCTAAAATTAAAAATGTATATCCAGTTTTCTATCAAAACCAAAAACTCCAAATGCCACTCAGATCTGAGCTTCTCTCCTCCCCCATCCGGGCCTCCTCTGGCTGACAGCGGGAAGGGGAAGGTAGCTTTCTGTCACACTCGTCTTGCATTTAGGCTGGCCCTGACCCCTGTTAGGTTGAAGCTTTGGCGTGAGATGGTGCCCATGTGGCCTCTGCCACCAAGGCCCTCACACTTTTGGCAGAAGCCTCTGAGCATTACTTCATTTAGACTTTCCTACCTCTGGTTCCACACCTGGTCTCAGGTACCACAGACCTCTGACCTCTAGCTGGGGACATAACTTGAGCCACTTGTGGCTTAAGAAAAGGGGGAAGTAGGGAGGCCAAGGAGGGTGGATCACCTGAGGTCAGGAGTTCAAGACCAGCCTGGCCAACATGGTGAAACCCTGTCTCTACTAAAAATACAAAAAAAATTCGCTGGGCGTGGTGGCAGGCACCTGTAGTCCCAGCTACTCAGGAAGCTGAGGCAGGAGAATTGCTTGAATCCAGGAGACGAAGGTTGCAGTGAGCTGAGATCACGCCATTGCACTCCAGCCTGAGCAACAGAGAGAGACACTGTCTCTAACAAAAAATAAAAATAAAAATAAGAAAAGGAGAAGGAGGCGACTTCACATCCTCTTCATTGGGTACTGGGAGGGGAGGTGGATGTGGCACAGATTACTTTCTTTGAAGAAATTCTTCTCTGGGTTCTAACCTGTGAACCCTTTTTTTTTTTTTTT